CTTCTAAACAAGAAAGAGAAAATCTAGAGGATAAAAGTCCTTGCTGTTCACTTTCTCCCAAAAAAGCTGTCCTAGTCTAAAAAAAATCCTCTCTTCTTTCCTTAACAGCTTCCTTGGCCAATTTTCTTTCTATAAAATCCTTCCATTTTATACAACCACTGGGAGTTCCTTTCTAATTGCTAGATGAGATACTGCCTCATTCATGAATCCCTTAATAAAGCCTTACAAACCCAGAGACCAAAGTAACCCCCAAGGATGGTCTACATGTAAAATTCCTAACTAAAAGCGGGTCATGGAGCATCTTCGTGTCCTAGGCCTGAAGCTTCCTTGACAAAGGTCAATATTTAACTTTAAAGTTGTCTATTGTCTTTGTGCATCTCAGATAACGTGCCTTGGAAATGTCAGACTCATCTTCTTTTCCAGACCCTTTGAAGGCATAACTGCTGACAGCAGAGCATGAGACCAAATTGTTATCTTGTTGCCTATTTATTGCAATAAAAAAGGGGTCCATCTTCCTGCACACATCTAAGCCGAAGTAGAGATCCATGCAGGTTTTGCAGCAAAGAAAGTAAAGTTTATTAGAGAGTTACAAGCCCTGGAGACACAGTCAAGCTACCACTCAAAGGCCTTTGCTCTCCAGGTGTCTCAGGAATACAAGTTATTTAGGGAAAAATCAGTAGTCATGGAAACTAAGAGAGTTGGGTTTGAGGGTTATACTGATTGGATGGTTGGAGAGGAATCGGCAATTGATCATTGTGTCTAGTTCTGAAATCAGTCACAGGTGCCATACCATATGGTCCCATGGCTGATGGGGTTGCTGTTCTGCCTAGACAGGCCTGGGGCTGAAACAACCTAAAGCTAAGATGTTACTCTTAGTCTAAAGTCCAACTGAAACCTATCATCTTCATGATTATAGACAGATCTGAAGCTCATCAATCTTATGTCCTAAGGCTTCATTATAAAGCTACAGGTATACAGAGGATTAGGGCAGCAATAAAGCAAATGAGTCACAATATGTTATCATGCAAAATCAGCTTGAATCAAAGAAAAAACTATATGAAAGAAATGAAGTTTGCAGCTTCCAATCCTACGGTTATCAAACTGAGTTCTTAGGGCATAAAATTTTAGATTGTCTTTAAGTAAGATTATGCTATTCTTTTTCATTCATTTTTACTTTTAATGTCCTGATTTTTTTTTACAGTGCCAGCAAATGTGTGAAGGCAAATAGGAATGGATCTGAATGGTTTTTATTTTTGTTCTAATTTCTGTCCTCCCACCTGATTAAGGGAATCTTAAAGACTAGCTATTATAACAATATGAAAGCTCTCTAAAAAAATGTTTTCTTTTTTTCAATTTAGAAGTTTTGCTAATTAAAAGATTCTGTTATCTGGCCTTGACAGTAGTGTTTATAGCAACTCAAACCAATACTGTGGACATTGGAGGCATCTGCAAAGGAGAATGCAAAACAAAGCAACCCTCACACACGTTTACTCCTGGAGTTATCCTAAGGAAGATGGGGAGCCCTGTCTTTAAACAGCTGTTCCAAATCAGAGAATCACATGCATTCCTCCCTTGAACAGAATAAGTTTAAGATTACCAAAGCTTGGATTCACAGCATATTTGGCTGCCCACCAGATGCATAAGCATCCTCCAGCATCCTACCAAATAGATAACAGACCATCTCTAGGAAGAACAGGATAAAAATAGGAAAGCCCCTGACAGCTTGTCCTGGCTGGACAGAGGGAAGGGACACATCGATAAGTGTACTGAATGGTACAGAGAAAAAATATTCTCACTGGTCGTAAGGCCAAATCTCAGTACATGTAACAAGATGAAAGGAGAGAAACAAGGCAGAGACAGAGAAAAATGAACCCCATGAGTACTCCTACCAAGTAACCAAGGGTCACTACACTGAGAAAATAGTTTGACAAATGTTTTCTGCTGCCAATCAAATTGAGGAGAAAAAAAAGACTCTCAAAATTTTCACTCCTACCAGATCCCACAGACAGAGATATGGGGTGTGATGACATGGTAAGAACCCTTAACTTCCACTTGCCTTTGTCTGACAGTCGGATCTCCTCATCTGCAGCAGCCTTGTGGGGAAGCTTGAGGCTCCAGGCAGTGAGGTTATTCCCCCCACTGTGCAAACTGTCAGGGAGGAGGAAACTTTCCTCCACCCTCAAAGTTCTTTTGGCTGGTCTAATAATCAAATGGACATGACAGATTAGCAAGAGAAAATAATCAAATTAAAACATACACATGTATGGGAACCCCACACATAGGAGGCAGTCAGAGATCCCACATGTCGAGGGGTTCAGACATGGAAAAAGTGATTTAGGTATATAAAACATTGTGAGCTAGGAATGATATAAGGTACTTTAGGGCTTCTAAGGGTCAGTGCAGGAGGATAAAAATAGCAGGTCTTAGTCAAACAAGAAAAATGTATGCGCTGCCATACAGGTGGGTCAAAGTGAGATTATCTCTGATAATCCCTTATTATAGAAAAGGCCTCCTATTCAAGTATTTATGGGTAGTTAAATGGATAAGCAGAAGTTTCTTTTGAGCCAGTAGTTAAAATGGCCTTCAGCTCAAAATAATCTGCAACCTCTGAGGCACATCTTGGAGCGTCTCCTTCTGAAAGTCACACAGGCTAATGTGTCAGGATGCTAATGTGTCAAGTGAATGGTGGCCAAAGCTTTACATCAAAGTTACACAGTTTTCTTCATTTTTAAAGAAGAAATAGCATTTTTTTTTTGAGTTATCAGAGGTCGTGTCTCACCACAATTCAATAGTTCAAAGAGCCAAGGGATCTAGTCAAGTCAGATTCCTCAGTCTTAGACTTTTGAAAATTTAAAAAATTTATCAGGTTTGGGATATGGTGCTGAGAGGTGAGACATCTGGCAGGCAGAAGTGTCATGGAGAAGGAGTAATGAAAACAGTATTCACTTGACTTCCATCCTGGTCT